TACGTCATCGCTATGCTAGATTTCATCCTGGTTTAGGATGGTTGCTATGCTAGAGATCGGTTAGATCGATTGTTATGGTATGCTACATATGGATTTGATCTGTTAGATCAGAATCAGGATAGAGGGTAGGTTATGATCCGTATGGATTGGTATGTTAGTGACCTGCTAGGTCGGTAGTCTAGTTACGAGAGGATTCTATAGTTGATGATCAGTGTGACAGATATGTTGATGTTTGTATATGCCAGTATGTGATAGTTATGCGCACATGGTTATTTGCTTGTTGGTTGGATTGAGGCGGTCCTGCTTTGTGCTGAAGGCCAACATACCCTATGAGCGGTCCGGGGAGACTGCAGGCCCACGAGGCGGATCAGTCATGCCGAAGGCTCGGGACAGATTCAGATAGACTGCAGGCCCAGTAGGGCGGTCCAGGGGACAGATTTCGATAGACTGCAGGCCCAGTAGGGCGGTCCAGGCCGATGGCCCAGTATGCATGATTGCTTGATTGATTGTTACGGATATGATATTGTCAGTGTGGTATTGGTATTTTGGGGGTAGCTCACTAAGCCTTTGGGCTTACAGTTTTCAGTTATTGTTTCAGGTACATCAGGGGATCGTGGCAAGGCAAAGGCGTGACCGTACCGCTCCTCATACTTATGCTGTGATTTTGGGACACTCTGATGGATATTGATTTGAAAAACATTTTGTAAACAATACTATTTTACTTTTATTTATGATTTAAAAAGTTTGAATTTGGCGTGAAGTTTATGGATGTTACAGACTCAAATAATAAAAACAAAGGGAGTACAATGTTATATTTGGGGTAGAAATAAATAAAGGTAAGATGATAAACCCACGGTTTGTGAATAGAATAAAACAGTTTAACAGGAAACTCAGGGTTTGTGATGATAAACCCAACCGGATTGATGAAGAAAAGGTTCTAGATGGGCATCCTAAAAAACAAAATGACTAAAAGGACCCTATCAAAATAAGCCCTTAGTTATTATAGTAGTAGTGTAGTGGTAGTTGCTAAAAGATACAATAGTAATACCTAGGTGACCACTAAAACCTATTTCCTAAATAAGGGTAAAAATGTCTTTTCATTGGAATTGGGCACCAAAGGTCTGCCTGAAAGACCAGTCAATAGGGACAACATTGTTAAACACCATGGTTTTACCATCACTTGTGGTGACCTTAAAAGGCAGACTTGTCCGTTGAGATAACTGTTGGATTTTCACAACTCAAACCATTGTTGAACAAAGCAGTACTTAACGCTGTTATGTTTGTACCATACCATTGACTATACACAAGCACCGCCTATCATATTAACACCAAATCTCAGTCAATTAGTCGAAGAATGAGAGAGATCGAGAGAAGAAGATTAATGATTTGAAGATTACCACCTAGAACTTTTGTAATTCCATTCAACCTATATCTCTGGTAACCAAAAAGCCCATTTTCACTGTAGGAGTAAATGTATCAAACTTGATAAACATGATAACCAACTATGTATATCAATTAACTTGATTGATGATAAATTTAATAAATAACTTGTAATCACTTTATAAAGTTCAAAGTTCCCAATTACTAAAGCAATTAAAGGTTTCAATTTCAAAAAAAGCAATTATTGTTGAATTAAAAATAAATAAAAAAAACTTACATTGAAAATGGAACTCCTAAACAGCTTTACTGTACACAAAAAATGGAAAAGTGATGATTAATCGTCATCATCACCATTTAACTTTCTCAGATATGATGAAGAGATAGAAATGTAGTGATAACGGGTGACTTAAGAGAGGCAAATAGGGAGGCTGTAGGTGGTTCTGATGATGTTCTTGATCGACTATATTTTTCTTAAATGGAAATCCAACTGCGTGAAAATAGAGAGGGAGATGGTGATGATGGATGATTCATCTACAAAAGGGTGGAAAGAGTTAGATATTAATGTTCATGAATCATTATATTGAGAAAGAACTGGTGGGTTATGCTTCCGATTTGCTATAATCGACACATGTAGCTACTTTCTTATTGCATCTAATAAGCCTCCCAAAATGATGTTTCTAAAGATATCTTGCAAAGGAATTGAGTATCAAATTCTTTGAAAAAATGCAGAAAACTGAGATTACAGGGTAACAACCCTGTCATCTAAGACTAAGGAAGTACCAGCAATTACCAACATTAAAAAAAGTTGTTTAAGTCCCAATGAAGCTTCAATACTTCATATCTATAGCAAAATAAAAACAAAAGTTATATACACTCGGAAGTTGAAGAAACCAATAAGAAGAAAATTGATGTTTGGTTATCTGATTATCTAGATCTGCCATTTGGATGTATTCTTGAAAACCTTTCATCAACAATTGAATCTATATCTTCAACAGATGGAATCAACCCTTTCACATAATTTAATTTGGATGTATTCTACACTAAATTCTCATAAACCTTATGTTAAAAAAATAACACCAGGTGGATTGGATAAGATCACAGCTAAGGGCAACATTTTTTTTAAATAGAATGCTATATTTTTAGACATTTATATAAAAATAATTATTCATTATTCAACTTTAGTTTAGATCACCTGTAATCACAAAATGAGGCCACAAGCAGAAAGTTTGATATTTTTTTAAATAAATCCCATATTAGCATTATACTTCCTAAACCGCTAAGTTGAAGAAATTCGGAGTCAAAATGACATCTTTTTACTCAAAATGTCCTTTTTGTCAAATTTGGTCGTTTTTACTTTTTACTTTTTTCGTAATTTACCCACTTAAAACAAATTATTTTTTGTTCAAAATTGTCATTTTGACCATTTTTTCCCTTTTTTTGTAATGTCAACCCAATATATAGTTTAAAAGTTTGGCTAATATTCATTGTTCTTTAATAACGGGAAAAATACAATAAAATTAAAACAAAAGACCAATATACCCAAATTGCCCCTACAGCTTCCATTTATGTTTAATTTAAAATTTTAATATTGAGGTCACAAAAAGTTTGATTTTTTTTAAATACGTCTCATTTTGGCATTATACATCTTAAACTGTTAAGTTGAAGAAATTTGGAGTCAAAATGATCCTATTTTCATTCAAAAATACCTTTTCGTAATTTGCCAACTTAAACATAAAAAATAAAAGTACATTGATATGAAGCAATTAAAACAATATATATATATATATATATATATATATATATATATATATATATATATGTTCAAAATTGTCATTTTGACCCTTTTGTTTCCCCTTTAATTCATGTCAACCCAATGTAAGTTTAAAAGTTAGGCTAATGTTCGTTGTTCTTTAGTAACATGAAAAATAAGATTAAATAAAAACAATATACCAATATACCTAAATTGCCCCTGCATTCTCCATTTTCGTTTATTTTAAAATTTAATATTGAGAGTACGTTGCTATTTCTTGACAGCACCAGTTATAGCGGCCATCTGTGATAAAATCAAATGGTATTTCAGATAACCACCAACTCAAATAGGAACATAGGTTACAAAAATGTAGAAGAATGTGAGATAGAAACCTTGAAGGCTTTGTCACACTACCTAGCCAAAGCATACACAAACATACGGTCACATCAGATGCAAACCAATTCACTATTTTCTTCTAAATGACCATTATACCCCTCCACCCTCGAATTCATAAAAAGTTCTTATGATTGAAAACTGAAATAACATTGTACTTATGTTTCTTTGACAATATTTGCAACCGATTAAAGTACAATGCTATAATCTAAGAAAACCTCATAAAAATGCTTTATGTTTCTTCTTGTCCCATGGTTTATATTTCTTTATCTTTCTTTTAGTCATTATTATCCATCATTAATTTATAAGTAATGAATTTATATTTACAAAAGCAGTAAACGTGATAGAAGCTGATTAAAACCCAAATCAGATTATAATGAAATTATTAGAAAATAATAAATGTCCAATGCATTTATTGCTACAGCCCATTATTACCTTGCCAATATACCAGTATAAATGTTAGCATCATTCACTCACTAATTTTATAACTTTTAATAAAAGTAAAACCTTTACTCTTCACGACAATTTATCTAGTTGCAAGATTCGTTTATTATGGACCCTTGATACACAAAACCTCTTCTTGGTGCATCATCAGCTTCTAACTTAATTGAATCTCATATATCACTAACCATCACCAAATAATAGGGGTGGCAATTGTTGACACGGCACGACAAAAATACACGACACGAAACGAAATTGGGACAAAACTGAAATTCGAATTCGTGTTTGTGTCGTGTTCGTGTCAAGTATAAAAAACACGATATTGTGTCGTGTCGTGCTCGTGTTCAAATTTTGACACAAAATTGACACGATTAAGCATTTGTTTGTCGTGTTTTCGTGTTTATCGTGTTTGTCGTGTTATGTATGATTAAATATTAATTAAATAAACTATTTTTTTAGTATGTAATCTTTTTCGTGCCGTGCCGTGTTTGTCGTTTTTTAATTTGTTATTTTTCGTGTTAGTTAAAACTTAAAATAAAACACGACATTGTGTCGTGTCGTGTTCGTGTCACATAAAAGCTTGTCGTTTCGTGTCGTGTCAGACAAAAACACGACACGGTGGCCCGATTTGCCACCCCTACCAAATAAGCATCAATCTGTAAACGAAAACATAAATCCAAAAAATCAAAAGTAAGCTTTCATGAGAATCAGAATCTAATCAGTTTCACTCAAAGTGAGTTGGGTGAAAGCCACAACGTGTGGGAGAACTTCAACATGGATACAAAAGCTTCAAGTGGATTGGAAACACAAAACAGAATCATACCTGATGTCAGAAAGATGATTGGTGAAGAGGATTAGAGGTCTGATGATAAGCATATCTAAAAATATTGAGGATTAGAGAAGAGAAAGAGGGTCTAGTGATAATATTGAGCAAAATAGTAGACTTGAAACACGAAACAGAATCATCCCTGTAGGATTACTTTAAGCAAATCGACCAAATAGGGAAATTGACAAAAAAAATTGGAATGAATTACCTTCATAATGCTAATTTATTCAAGAGTTTCAGTGATCCCTCCTTGATTTCTCCTTCCCTGAAGTTCATTGTAACATAATCTACACCCTGTTACAATGAATAATATAACCATTTGAGAAAAAAACTTAAGTAGAGGTAAACGAATTAAACCTGGTGTGGATCTTCCGGCTGTTCTTTGATCCTGAGAATTTTGGTATGCTTATATACGAATAACCCTTCGTATGGATCTACTTCTTCGTCATATTGAGGAATCGGACTGCATAGGTAAAGCACGAAACGACGACTGAATAATCGAATAACCCCCAAACATCCGATCCTGAAATCGAAAAAATTGACCAAAATTCATCCAAACCCATTCTCTATTCTCTAAAACCACACACACACACACACACATCTCCAATACCCCCTGAAGCTTCCGATCGTTAAAAAAAATCGAACAGAGATAAAGAGAAAAGCCTCACCGGTTATTGCGATTTAATTGTTGATTTGGAGATGATATTGTTTCCTGATTTGTTGCTATGTAATTGTTGATTCTTTGGAATGTTAGGTTTTAGAATTAATTATTTCTTGGTATAAATCACTTAGTTGATTCCCAAAAAATTTGAATGTCAAAAGAGAAGAAGAGGAAGTAACAGGACATGCGATTATATAGTAGCCCAAGGGTAGAATTGGAATTTCAGTTTGATAATATGGACGGGAAAAAAAGTTGGAGAAGAGCTAAGAAAATGCCACGTGGCGAAAATGTATTGTTTTATTAGAATAGGGGATTTACCACTTTCTTAAATCTCATGATTTGGCAGATTCCTCCATTGCTTATGTTTTCTGCTGTCAGTGCTGCATTTGGAGGCATGCCTTTAAATTTTAAATGACTTGAGTTTTTATTCTATCATAGTATAATTATTATTTTTAGGATTTTATATTTGAAAATATGTAAAAAAAGTGTTTTTAATAAATCACAGGGTATGGGCTTCAAAATTTCACTAAGATTAGTGTTACATCTTTAAATCTTATTGAGAAACATAGTAAGTTTCTTTAAATCTTAATAATGTCCTATGGGTTTATATGCATGATTACAATCTCTTTATGTGCTAAACTTGAGTCCTTATGATTTTAATGTATAACCATTAGCTTAAAAATTTGATAACATGAAAAACAGATTAAATAATATAAATTAAAAAAGGGAAAATTTATAAATCATAAATTCATAGTCATAAGAAATTATGAATGTAGGAAAAACATACCATCAAAAAAAACAATCATCCCCAACAAAAAAATTAAACTTCAAAACCACAATGTCAAAGTACCGAATGAAAAATAAAATGCAAAATCACTGTTTTAAAATCATAATCCACTACCTTATGAAACTTCTACTTAAAATAAAAACTCCGCCACTTTTTTCCAACTTTACCTTCACAATCTGGTTAATGCGTCCTTCCGGTGAAATTTTTGGAGTTTTTGTTGCTGATAACTTTTCATTCAACTCCAAATCAAAGACTTCTTCCAAATTTCTCTTCAAAACTGTTGGTGTATTGAAACTCTTCATGGGACTTGTTGCTGAGTTTTTATCAACAGTTTCAGGTGTTATGTTGTCGTCTGTCCTAGAAATTGCATCTTAAAAAAAAACAGATGTACTTAATTTATTTATAAAGTGAAGTAATATATTTATAACATAATTCGATGCAAATATAATGTCTATATAACCTTCAAAATCCGATTATCTTGTGATTCAAAATCGGCTTTACCAATATCAAATGACTGTGAAGTACCAACCTGCATAATAAATACATATTATATGAACATTAATCAGCATCTTATATAAAACTGTAAACATTAATACCATAAACCATATGATTTAGTAAACAGGAGAGTTTATGTATACATAGAAATAGTAAAAAATATACTAATAATAATAATAATAATAATAATAATAATAATAATAATAATAACAACAATAATAATAATAAAATGACTTATGAAACGGTAAACTTATTTTCCAGTTCTTCAATCAACTTTTCATCATCGCTGACTCTACATATACTATATTGGTTGTTCCTTTTTGAGACATTGAAGTGTTTGATATTTTAAACGCCAATTTCAAACCTTTAAGTGCATTTATCTCTCCGGGATAGAAAGCAGTACTAAAGCCAAGCTAGATAAAAAAAAAGATAAAAAAAAGTTAGGTTAAAGTAATTAGATTAAGTGAATGTATTAATTAATTTTAATTAAGGTGCACCACCTGTAATGTTTTATTAAATAGATCCTTGGCTGATTTCTTCAAAAGATACTTTCCATCCCTTTCAAACATGGTTAAGGTAACAGTACCAGTACTGTCTTGTACACGTAACGGAATCATAAATCTTAAAAAAATGATAATACAAAATAATATTTATATATATGAAATATAATATAACTTTTACTGATTAAGTAGGAAATTAATAACCTCGGAATAACTGAAGTTTCAGTTTTTGTGCAGTCCTTATTATGACATTCATAACCATTAGTTAATCCATCAGCATTAGGTTGATCGTTTGCACCAGGAGGACGAAATGCTTTGTAGTTGCAACTTGTACATGCCAAATAATGTCATGGTTCATTTTGTAAAATTCCCTTTATAGTGCCCACGATAATGAATGTATTTTTATGCACATTAATTTTATTTTGATAATTCAATATATATAACAAAAAAAAGTAGGATTATATTTACTATAAAATATATAAAAACCACACCTCCAAGGGTATAGAAACCTCAGAAATTGTCTTCAACTGAAAGTTAACCATGAAATCATCATGTTCGGAAACTTTATTAGACTTCATACGTGTCAATGTATTTGTGGATGAATCAGGGCGATCATCTCCATCCAAACTGTTTTTAAAAAAAATTAAACTAATATTTAGTCACATAAAAGTTAATTGTAGAAATTAGAATGATATAACATCAATTACCTTTTCTTAAAAACATTGATTTCATCAATGTCCGTGTTAATGAACAGCTTTGACACAGAAAAGTAGGTGTTAACCGTGGGACGATCTACAATAAACTTTTTATTAAATGTTAGGATAATGATTAAAAAATAATATTTAATAACAAAATAATACAATATACCTCTCCAAATACTAAGTTTTGCAAATTGAAGGATAACAATGATACGAAGATTGTGTGGATTGTTATCAAGAAAGTGTTGCATCTTGTAAGCAAAATCACCCCACAAATTGACACTTAATTGCAAACCACTGCAAAATAAAAGTGTAAAATTAAATGAAATGATTATTATATGTACGTGAAATATCCAAAAATAAAAAAATAAAATAACAAACTTTGCATCTTGGATTTGGATGTTTAGTCTGTGCTTTTTCTTATCATCATTGTCTCGCACCATCTCACCAAATGCAACGACTAATCCAATAACATCTATGAACAACAAAAAAAAATTAAATATTATTATGAATTTAAAAATATGATATTCTATTTCTATTCAAACAATAAAATTTACCATAATAAATAAATAATAAAATGCAACTAACCGATAGCGATGTTTTCAGGATGGACCAATGAGATAATAGATTGGTAATCAACAAACTCAAAACCAAATGTAGGTCCAGAAAAGTCATAACACTCCGTAACAACAATTTCATGGACAAAAATAAGCTTATGATCTTGCCGAGTTAAAGTAAAACCACCCATCCTTTGAGATGCAAAGCTTGGACATTTTATGTAGAATGTCAAGCCATCTTTTAGAATGTTTTTGAATCGATAGATGTTTTTTCTTGTTACATTTGCTTGGATCTTAGTACCCTAAAAGAAGTAGAAAATATAAAATTATAATTTAATCATATTACATTTTGCATGTGGAATGAATATATACTGTTAAATTGTAAGATACCTGCTCATCTATTAAGATTAATTCAATGGAGAAAAGTTCGTCCTTGTTATAGAATGAAAAAAGGTTCCATAGGTTTATCACTCTGACTTTGATAGCCGAATCATCTTTAAGTACATCCAAATCGGCAATCAAAGTAACATTTGGCTGTGCCATCGGTCTGCAAAGAAAATACAAAGTCAATAAAAAATTTACAATAAAATTTAAATGCCCTTTTTGTGTTATGTAACTGTTGCAGCAGAAAGTAAGATGCTATAAATGAAAAAAAAAACCTGTTATAAAATAATCAATTAATAAGACAACAGAAAACAAATGTAAACATAAATGACTGTTATGAATTAAAAGTAAAAAGGTCTTATAGGCATATGATTAGAAAAATGTAAAATACGAAAAAAAAAATGAAGAAAGAATCCAAATCATAATTAATAAGACAACAGAAAGAATCAAATAAAAAGAAACATACCTAATGGATTGATAAGACAACAGAAAATAATTGTAAAAATAAATCTCTGTTATAAAATAAAAGTAAACAGCCATTATTCGCATTTGATTAGAAAAATGTAAAATACGAAAAAATAAATGAAGAAATAATCCAAATCATAATTAATAAGACAACATAAAGAATCCAAATTATCAATTAATAAGACAACAGAAAAAAAAATATTTTTTACCTTTGAGTATTAAATTGAAATAATACAAATTTATGTTATATAATTGTTCATACAGAAAGTATGATGCTATAAATGTAAAAATAAATCACATAAAACATTCAAATCATAGAAAAACTAAAACATAGTTGCTGTATAGCGTGCCCTTTTTGGCCTTTGATTTGAAAAAGGTAAAATATGAAAAAATAAAGGAAGAATTTCAGAATTTCACACAAACACATGCAGTACCAATAAGAAAAACAAAATAACATAAAGCATTCAAATCACAGAAACAATGAAACATAGTTACTGTTTGTATTATACACGAATATAAAATGAAATAAAATAGACTTTTGATTGCATTTTAATCAAATAAAAAGAAACATACCTGATGGATTGAACACAGAACATGTAGTACCAGTAACAAAAACAAAGTGACATTAAGCATTCAGATCACAGTAACACTCAAACATAGTTACTATTAGTCGTATACACGAATATAAAATGATATACAATGGACATACCTGATGGATTGAACACAGAACAGGTGCAGACTGAAAAGAATAAAACGTCAAAAGAAGAGCGCAATTTTGTTTTGGGGTTCGGTTTTTATAACACGATGAAATAAACGGAAATGAGGTATATTTGGTATAAGATTAATAAAAATAAAAATAAATGCAGATTTTAAGGGATATAGTAAATCAAAATTCAAAATACCAAAACTTTCTTTGAAATGATTCAGTCAAATGAAATCTATATATTTTTGAATTTTTATATTTGAAGAGATAAGTTTTAAAATTAATTTGATTGCATGGTTTTGATGCAGGTAATATCGGATATGAGATAAATGCTACAATTAATCAAAACTAAAATTGCGCTATTTAGGAACTGATGATGAAATGATGCAGTAGAAGATTATGTGCAATTTGATGGATTAGTGGGTAATTGATTTATATTAAATGTGAAAATCGGTGATTGATTTAAACTATATTGAAGAAGTCAACGATTTGTGTTAATTTGATTCCTGATTTACAGGAGATGATATGCTCGATTTTTATGTTTTTAATTTTAGTATATTTGCTGTAAAACAAATAACCGATTGACCATAAAAATAGGATTGATATCAATATTTATTTGCAGGATATTCAAAAATTGTGACCTGATTTATAAAAGATGGTGTATTCGTTTATGTGGTGCAAAGAATGGGCGGGAAAATGAATCATAAGGGATCCCTGGTAAGGACACGTGACAAGTTGGAGTTGCAAAAGAGGACACGTGGAGTGCAAAGTACTCTTTTATTAAGAATAGATTTATTTGTGTCAAGAAATTGTTTGACAAATCTTATAAATGCACCCATTAATTTAATGATATATGATATACTCGTATTTCATTATGGGTAAATTACACGAATGGTCCCTATGGTTTGGGGTAATCTGCATGTTTGGTCTCTAACTTAAATTTTTAACTCGAACCATCCCGTATTATATAATTTTTGTTGCCTCACAGGTCCCTACCAGACATAAAAAGATAATTTTAGCCTTATAATTATATTTTCGGATTTATTATAGTCATTTGTTATTTATAAAAACCATTTATTAAAAAAGTCCATGTCCCACCACGACACCATCCAAACCCAAACCTTTTACTCCAACGGACCATTGACACCCAAACTTCACTCTCTAAAATTCCATCCATGTCGGCAGCGTCCGCCTTTCTCTCTGCCACAACTATCGTCATCCACCCTCTCTACCGCCACCGACAACCTACAATCATCCCTCACCTCACTTCCAAACTTCGACCGTCCCCTCAACTTCCCTTGAAATACCACCATCTCCTCCATTAGCCCTTCACCCCACAAATTTAACCCCATCTACCCTTCTTGTTCAAAGATTCACTCAGAATCGTAATCACCACCACCCACATCCTACTCACCTCTACAACCAACAACAAACACCGCACATAGCATCGGAAACTACCACCACGGGAACCAAATTAAAATCAAATTACAGACAAAGCTAATAATCAAACTTGAAATCAAAACTAGAAACGAATTAAACCTGAATTTAAAGTTCCATACCAACCCAGAATAAAATGTGAAATCAAAGCGCAAAACCAAACCATAATAAACTTGAAATCTAGTAACATTGTTAGGGATGCAACCAAAGTGGCGATGAGAAAAACGGAGAGTCGTCAGTGAGTTTTCGACAATTGATTTCTATGATATTGGTTTACAAATGATTTCAAAATCCCAATTCCAAAATCACAACTAAGGAACCTACCACCGATCTGTGAAATCGAAACTAAAAGTCATATGAAGGGTTCTGAAACAAAAATCAATTTCTTGATAACATCGATTTCAAAATCGTTAACGATTGGATGTAGCTCTCCATTTCTGTTTTTTACCTCAACGTCACAGTGGTGACCTGGGATTAATGGTGGTGGTGGTCGGATGTGGTTTTTCAGAACATAAGGAGGGGAGGAGGGGGTGGGGATCTGATTGGCTCACAGACCTGCAAATTTGCATTTTTAACTTCCTACAAAGATGATGGAAGGGAGCGGGGCAATCGGAAAAGTGGTGCCGGAAAAAGGGTTTGGGAAGAGACATAAAAGGAGAGTTAGGGTGAGTGGGGATAAAATGAGGAGTGGGTGTTTTTTTTCTTTTTGATTTAAAAATGATAAATAAGAATAATAAAAAATTAAAAAAAGAAATACATAAGGGCATAATAGTCTTTTTATGTCACTGAAGGACCAACGTCGCAACAAAACCAAAGCACAGGGATTGTCCGGGTTAAAAAAAGTTGTTAGGGACCAAACGTGCAAGTTACCCCAAACCACAGGGATAATCCGCCTAATTTACCCTTTCATCAATTAGGCTCTAATGTATGGTAAGCATTCACATTTCACTTTATTTTTTCTACATTTTCTTTCACTCTTCAAAACACAGAAAATGATTACTTTTCGATTCATGGGAATAACCTTCAATTTGTTTTTGTTTTTTAATTTGGTTATCTGTGTCACACCCCAAAACCGAGAACGGCGGAATACGTTCTGGGGTGGAGGACGTCATGTCAAGTATCACAACATATGCAGTATAGTAATCAAAGTACAACAACCATTGCATTAATAGTAATAATTTTACATAGGTTACATTTCATAGCAACATCAAAGTAAATACAGAGAATAACATAGATGCAGCTTGGCACTAGGCCGACTTCGCAAAAGCTCCCGGGATGTACCTGTCTACCGATGACCTGAGAATACAAGTATTTTTTTGAAAGCGAGTATCAGCATTTTTATAATGCTGGTGAGTTCATAAGTATTTAATGACAGTGGTGTAAATACATATTTTCTTCAAAATAACTCATAAAAGATGGTGATTTAGAATCTACAGAGTGTTAGAATTCTTTCCAGAAAATCCTATATTTTCTAAATAAAAGCAGTCTTCTACCAAGACCCGATTGTTTTATGTTTAAACCAAGGAGTACCTCTATTAAAAGCAGTCTTCTACCAAGACCCGACTGTTTTATGTTTTAAGGAGTAATTTCCCCAAAAATACTATCATTATCAAAACATAGTTTTTACTTTAAAGGAATTATGAGAAAAATCACAAGTAAAAGTAATAGGGGAAAATAATATTATACCTCAGCAGTAATACCGCTGGCTAAAGTAAATAAAGACATAGACTCCAGGAGGGTATCGAATGGACAATACGCCTGGCTCAGTCTAAAGGTGAATAAAACACAGACTCCAGGAGGGTATCGAATGAACGATACGGCTAGTAAAGTCTAAAACAAGGAAACACATACTCCAGACAGTATCGAATGAACGATACAGCTAGCAAAGTCTAAAACAAGGAGGTACAGACTCCAGACAGTATCGAATGAACAATACAGCTAGCAAAGTCTAAAACAAGGAAATACAGACTCCAGACAGTATCGAATGAACGATACATCTAGCAAAGTCTAAAACAAGGAAGTACAGACTCCAGACAGTATCGAATGAACAATACAACTAGCAAAGTCTAAAACAAGTGAATGGATAATAGAAGGGTTGAATGTGAACTCGTATGTAACCATGATGATTGACGATCGAATCCTTGATGACCCTCCAGGTCATGCGATGTATAGTGACATTATGTCACCCATGGGCCTTACCGGCTCAGACTGTAGCTAGCAGTCAGGATGCGGGAGTGTCTGTCCCGTATAGATCTATACACATGATGTCCGCTCTCCCTCCAGGAGACTCTGGTTACACGGCGATGGCGCTAGGAAGCGTCGTATCGGGAAATAGTACGTCACATTCTATTTAAAGTATTAAAGTACTAGTATAGACTCACGAATGAACTGACTCTTGTGGAATTCTTCATACTAGAAAGAGTAACTAGAATCTCCTAACTATTCCTAAAATAGTTACTAATGTTTCAGGTATATGAACGATGAATTGAAGGATGCCTTTGCTACCCAAAGGAAATGAACTGGCTGATGGAAGCCTTTATGACTATAGATGTATACATGATATATAACTAATAGTTAAACGACCTTCGGACAGATAACCGATACCCACCAGACCACATCCCAACGAGGAAAAGGAAATAAGACGAACTAGCCGTTCTAAGTCCTTTAAATATTATTTATATAACTATACATATATAGGCATGCATTTAACAATATAAAATCATAGAAGAAACTTTGGTAAAACCTTTGGAAAACTTTACAAATAAGAATTTATGACTTGATGTCAGTTTATAAAACAAGCTTTGAAAACCATTGGAAAACCTTTGGAAAACTTTTGATAATCTAAAAGAGAAATTCATACTTTAAAACAAGATTTGAAAATGAGATTTGAAAACTTTCAGCTGGATAAAGCAGTTTGACAAGCAAAAATCTATTTTGCTATACAATTATTAATCACATGTGATTGATATAATAACTCTATAGTTCAACTTGTATCCCCCCCATAAAAGCATTTAAAATCATTTAAAAGGTTAATTCAGGGGTATGAACTCACCTGACGTGGGTGATTCGGATGAACGGACGGTATAGGATGCTATGTGTCAATTGAGGACTTGAACACACACTCGGATCCTATTTAACAAGTAATGATACATTTAAGTATCTAATTAGTCCTTTAATAACTAATTATGCAAGTAAAGACATCCCAGTACATGAAAACACTTTGCTACAAGTGCTAGGAGTACTAAGGATTGCATATAAAGAGAGTATGGCCTCACATTGGAGTTTACTACTCAAATGGTGGCCCTTAGGGGTGTTTACGGTTTCTGGACCATTGTCCCAATGAGTTTACGGCCGTAAACTCATGGGATTGGTGCCATTGGGTGTTCAAAGGTCTTAAACTACTCAAGGAATTATGCTAGACTCGAATCCATGGCTTAGGAAGTGATTAGGGCTTGAAATGGACACGTTTTGGAGTTTACGGTCCTT